AATATGACTCACCCAACGCTACATATGTAGAAGCCTGTGCCCTCTGCTACTTTACCCTGCCCTCTCTTTCAGGCACTGTGTTAGCTGCTGGGGATACAAGGATGAGCAAGGCCAAAGGCAGAGCCCCTTTAACTCTTTAGAGCATATGTGGAGAGGGAAGACAGAGTAAGAGAGAGGACTAGGCAGGATGAGAAGTGCTCTGATGGAAGTGTTCCCAGTTAAAAGTGAACAGAGCCCAGGGAGTGACTGAGTCCGGCTGAGCTAGGAAGTCTTCTCATGGGAGATGTGGGCTGAAGTAAGTCTTGAAGGATGAACAAGAGCTTTCCAAGAGGTCAAATTGGGGGTGGGGGGGTAGAATATTCCAGCAGAGAGAATAGCATGTTGTCAAGAAAGAAAGGCAGTATGCATGAGGAGAAGGAGCAGGAAATGCGGGAGGAAAACCACAGGACTCTGAACTCCTGGTAGGGAGTTTAGCCTGCATCTTTTAATGATGAAGGTGCTGGAGGATCATCGGAGGCTTTAGGCAAGTAACATGATCAGATTTGTGTTTTAGAAGGACCATGTCATAGACAATGTCACCAATGGACTGGAGGTGAGACTGGTTAGAAGAAACACATAAGGAAGCTATTGTGGAAATCCAGGGGGAGAACAGAAGGGCCCACAAAAGCAGGGAGGTAGGTGGGTAGAGAGGAAGGCTGGATCTGAGAGAGAGTTGTTGATTGTGGTGACTGTGGAATGGGGCAGCTTTCTGGTTTGCTTGGTTGGCTGGGAAGACATCCCTCACAGCCCATCACGGAGATCTGTGGAGGTAAAATAGGTTTGGGTGTGTGTTTGTGGGCGTAAGGTGAAGGGAACGGTGGAGGGGGCAGCGTAAGGTGGCACTTTCACTAGCAACATGGTGACCTTGAGATTCCCATCAAAGTACATGTAGGCAGTTGGACAGACAGGTCTGCAGCTCAGGTTTCTGGGGGTGAAGCATGTATTATCTACTCCCTTTTCAAAGCCATTTAACATGGTTCCCAGACTAATGCACAGCTTGTATGAACATATTGAGAAAATACCCAGCTTTGGATGAACCATTAGCATCTCACCCGTACATTTGACCATCTAAAATAGAATCTAAACTGAAGTGTAGCTGAGAGCAGATAGAAGAAATATCTCAAAAGTAGACCCTAGAAGATTTTGTGATTATTTTGGGGGTTAGGGGTCAGAAGATGGGAAGATGAAGAAAGGAAGTGATAATGCTTCCCAAGCTGACTTCTCTGTTTATACTTCTATCTTGAATTTTCTCTTGCTCCAACTTGGGGCTGAGAGTAGCTAACTTCTACTACAGAAACAGAAGTTTCTGGGCTTCCTCTGGGCATGTGGCACTTCTTCCATTTGTCTTCTTTTCTTTCTGGTGCCCTCCCAGGCTGCAGACTAAAACTCAGCATACACATTTCATCTATATTTTCGTCTATATTTTCTCCCGGGCCTCCCTTGCCAAGGTACATGTAGTGGTTCCATATAACCTCTCAGATCAAGGCTGAGCTTCTCGCGCTGCCACCTGAAGCCACTTCTTCTCAGGGATCTCTAGCTTGGTTTCCTATTTGATGAAATGCTGCCCCACCATTTATAACCCATTTTTGTCTCATGCTTAGTAACGGTAACACTCCAATTCCAGGAAATGCTGACCAATAGAACTTTCTGTGCTGATGGAAATGTTCTCTATCTGTGTTGTCCAATCCTGTAGCCAAGAGCCACCCGGCGCTACTGAGCACTTGAAATGTAGCTGGTATGATTGAGGAACTAAAGTTAATACATTTTAATTCATTTACATGTACATAGCCACAAATAGCAAGTGGCTACTGTTTTGGACAACACAGTCAGAGGGGCTTCTTCTTTCTCGCTCTACTAAAGTCAGGGTGGGTTTCTGACTTTACTGAGGCGCTCACTTCCCACTTCCCCAGAGTGTTCTGTAAACGCTTAGCAACTGCTTTCTGACTTCCTGCCTTGCCTGGTCTGCCTGCAGCCCCCTCTCCAACCCACAGCCTGGCTCAGATCTCCTTCCCACAGGGCTGGGAGCGTGCACTCAGTGTGCAGTGACTGGCTCACAAGTGAAGCTTATCACAGTTATTATTTTCTTTATGAGAAACAGCTCCATTAATAGTAACAGATTTCTTTGTTTACTTTATCTGGGAACAAGTCACACCCACAAAGAAGAGAGACTGTTCAAAAGAATTAACAAGGAAACTTAGCCAAAAACAAGTCAGACTCAAAGCCCACCAGGCTTCCTTCCCTGATATTTGAATCATCTCAGGATAGGTCTGATTGATGAGCAATGCTGAAGGCCAAGGTGGGAGACAGTTCTGATGTGGGACAGAAAGTTCCCCTGCTTAGTCACTGGCTCACTGGAGGCCCAGCTGTTTGGGGCTAATTCCAGCAGTGTGGAGGCTCGTACTGGGCTATCCACATTCCAACTTGTAAGCATGACACAGTGTGTATAGTCATACCACCCACAATGAGGATGATAACAGGCACTCAAGAAGCACTGGGTGGATGTCTGGGTGAATGGTATCATTTCTGGAATATAAAAGATGGTTAGTCAAGGCCTTGACCATATGCAGACAGACAAGGTGGTTGCCTACCAGTCCCAAGGGCATCCAAGTCCCTCTTGGCCAGGTCCGAGGACATAAGATCCTCATACCTCCTCTTGCCTTTGCTAGGCCGTTCTGTAGAGCACAGATGTTTCTAGAGGAGGTTTTGTTTCTGTGTATTTGTTTTTGTCATCGTTTTTGCCACAACAGAGCATAAAAATTGCACAGAATTAACCAGAGAATAATATTCCAGCAACCAAGTTCCATGCTGAGTTAATTCTCTTCAATCTACAGTGTCTTTTTGGCGTCTGTTTCCCTCATCCCCCTTTAGTTTCTCCCATCATGGTTCTAGCAATTTCTTTGGGTCTCTGGGGGTGGCTCAGGAGGCCTGAGTCCTCATAACCATTGTGTGGCATCTGCTTGTTTCTATCCTTTTCTGGGCTGGCTTCATTTGGTGGCATCACCCCAGAAGCCAAGTGAAGCTTCCTCATTATGGCCCTGTTTGGAGGGCAGCCCTCCCTCCCTAGTCTGATGCTACTTCAGGAGAATGGTCATACTAATGCTACTTTAGGAGAATGGCTGGGCTATGCTGAAGCTATTGGGGTGAAGGAGAACACCCCTGAATTTGCCAGAATGCCTCACTCCTCCATTTTCTCTAAAGGTTGTGGGTACGAACATTCTTTTTCATCTTTGTCTATTATCTGCCCTTTTCTAGGACAGATAGGAGTCTTCACAAGTTACAGTCTCTGATCTAGAGAGACACAGAGCTGTACACAGTTCTTCAAATTCCTTCCTCCCATTTTATTCCGGCCAAGACCCTCCTATCATTCCTTTAGATCATGTACACAGCCTTAGAGTACGTGACTAGCCTCAGTGTGGTTGTTGTTTGAACTACAGGTGGAAGATCATGAAGACAGTAGTTAACTGAGGAGCAAGATCTAAGATAAAATTCTTAACTGGGGTGTCAGGACACACTGATATAAAGCAAACCCTTTGCAAGCATGCTGCCAACTTGTCATCAAAATGTCAAATTACTGTTTACTACAACCGGGCTTATGCACTGTTACGATGATGTCTGCCCAAGAGGAGGTTGAACCGAGTATGCCTTGTCCTCCGGTGTCCAACATAGTATGGCCTCTTCATTCCCTGGTGGCAGGTGAGGGGTGATTACAGGCTACAAGGGATGTGACAGGAACATAGGCTCCTTGTGAGGATCAAGGGAGCAGAGTCGTCTTCAGACAGCCTTATAGGACTGAAGGGTAAAACACATAAATAGGGTGATAACTCTGAATACAATTAGTCTGTGTTGCCATATAAAATTCTGGTATTTGAAAGTATGCCATGAACAGAAATAAAGGTTAAAAGCCATAGGCATAGAAGGAGATAGAAAGAAAGGAATCAAAAGCAATGGGAAAGGTTGTCGATTCAATGCATTAAAGATAGGAGTGAAGGAAGAGAGGAAGCTTGATGATGGAGCGACACCTTGAAATGCACAGGGAAGTTTAGGAAGCTCTCAGAGATGATCTCCAACCTTGTAGTGGAAGCAACGTTACCTGTTGATAAAATGAACAAGTCACTTTTGCTTCCCTTGGACAAGTTATATATGTTTATATATATTAGCTTGTTTAATCTCTACAATGATTCCATAGAGTAGGGACTGTCATTACCCTAGTTTAACAAGCGAGGAAACTGAGCCTCGGAGAATTTGTGTACTAGACTCAAGGGTCTAAGAGCCAGGAAAGGAAGAGCTGGTCTCCAACCAGGCTGGGAGAAACTGGTCAAAGTGAAGTTGGCTGCGTTCAGCTGTGTCATGAATGTTCTGGGGACCCACAAAAACTGAGGGGGCTATAAGAGACTTCTTCCAGCAAGAACAGGAGTGCAGGCACTGGGGGGTGGCAGCACATGATCGGGGTTTGGTGCTCCCATGTGGTGGACCTCTGTAGAAGGGTACGGTAGAACTGGCAGGGAAAGAAAGGAGGTGAGGCTCAGAGGACATATCCAGCCGGACCACAGGCCTGCAGACCCATTGCTGTGGAGGGAAGGAAAGGAGACTGCTATCCGGGCTGGGAGCTACCCTGGAGGCGAGCTGTGGACACCTGGACCTGATCTGGTGACAGCAGCGCTCTGGTGTAAAAACATGAGGGTCTGGATTCAAATTCCCCTTCTGTGTTCTGCCGGCGGATGCGTTTTCCATCGGGTCCTTGTGTGTCGTCAGCGCAGGGAAGGGCCCACCCGACAGGTCCCGTGGTAGGAAGGCAGCTACGGTGAGGCCCCTGGTGGAGCATAGAGGGCTGTAAATACACTCAGAGGGCCAGGGGCAGAGTGGCAATGGATGACACTGGGCAGGAGCACTCCGGAGGGGCCAGCGTCCTGCACGGTGGGGGCGTGGAGCGGGCGGGGGCTCGGGGTCTGCTGCGGAGGGACGCTGCGGGGCGCCAGGTCCTGCTCTGGGGACAGTGCCCGGCCAGCTTCCGGCTGCCTCTGCAGCTGCGTAGGACTCCCCGAACCCCCCGAGCGGGCACCGTTTTCTCTTTCTCTTGTCAGATACCGACTCCCACGCAGGAAAAAGGAAGCACCTTTTGTCAGATGCTGCGGCCACTTCCTCTTCAGAAGGCTCCAGCCAGCCTTTCTCTTTGCAGAATGACGGGGCTGGCGCCGGGCGCCGGACTGCGTGTGCGTCGGGCCTCTGGCTGTCGCCGGCTGCCCGGTCCCTGGCCGGCCCGCGCCCGGAGCAGGCCTCTCGGCTGCCTCTCGGCCGCGCAGGGCTTCCTCCCTCCCCCAGGCCTGGCCCCCTGAGCCAGCCTGGCTGGGGCGCAGCCAGCCTCTCGGCCCCCTGGGGCTTCCTCTGTGGCCTCGGCGCCCCCCCGCTTCCCCCCCGCTCGCCGCTTCATGTCCCTCAGCCAGCCTGCCTGTCTGTTCCTCTCCGTAGCTCGGTCCAGGAGTGTGATGACCGGCGAGCAGATGGCCACCCTCCACCAGCCGTCCGCCCCCAACCCGCTGGAGAGGCCCATCAAGATGGGCTGGCTCAGGAAGCAGAGGTCCATCGTGAAGAACTGGCAGCAGAGATACTTCGTGCTGAGGGCGCAGCAGCTCTACTACTACAAGGACGAAGAGGACACGAAGCCGCAGGTACCAGCCAGCCCGTGGGTCCCCACTGGCAGGGCTCCCCTGCTTTCGCCCTAAGATCCGTCGGAGAGGTGTCCCCTTTCTCCTTCCCACCAGGTTTTAGATCCATAAACTGAGTCGCAGAGAGGACAGGGTGATCCTCGGTGTGCGAAGCCCCGAGGGGAGCACTGAGGAGCTTCCTAAACTCAGCCCTTAAGTCAAGGCTGGTGACACAGTCTTGATGGTGACGCTGAGTGTGAGGGCTCAGAGCCAGCGGATTTGCCTTCAGGCAAATTGATTTGTTTGTTCGACCAACATTTACTGAGCATCTATTATGTACCAGACATTGTTTTGGGTACTTGAAATCAACCAGTGAGTAAAACGGATAGAAGTCCCTGCATGTGGAACTTAGATGATAAGGGGACAGACAGAAAAAAATAAATAAGGAGAGTATGTGGTTTGTTAAAAAATGGTGAGTTCCATGAGATTAAAAAAAAAAAAATGGGTTAAGGGGAGATCAAGCATTTGGGGAGGTGATATGATTTTATAAAGGGTGGTCAGCATGATTAAGAAGGAGAGAGGCAGTTAGCCAGGCGGATCTCTGGGGACAAAGCACTTCATGCAGAGAGGAAAGCCAATGCAAAGGCCCGGTGGTGGAGCATGTCTGCTGTGCGCTGAGAATACCAAGGAGGTCAGTGTGGGAGCAACAGAACTCAGGAATGAGAGAATCAAAGGGGATGGGGTCAGAGAGGGGAGGGCGGGGCCCAGGATCACAGTGCAGATAGCAAAGAAGAAGACCACTGTAAGGACGTGAGGGTTTATGCTGAGGGCTATGGGGAAGCATTGCAAGGTTCTGAGCAGAAAGGGGACATTTCTTTGGCTTATGCTGTAAAAAGAAAGCTCTGGCTACAGTGTTCAAAATAGATTCAGGGCCAGAGGAAGGAGGCGTGAGGGTAATCTAGGGGAGAGGTTATGTTGTTTAGAATGTCAGTGGGGGTTGTGGGCTGGAGGAAAGTGATCAGGTTCCTGGTATACTTTGAAAGTACAGCAAACAGGATTTCTAGTTGGAGTGGATGGGGCCAGAGAGGACTTTGGTCCTAAATCTTGGGACTAGTGATTCCTCTTGGCCATCATGGTGCGTGAAAGTGAAAGGGCGTGCTATTAACAATTACCCTGGGACCCCAGGTGTAAACTGCATGTCTTGGAGCAACCAGAATGACTGGCCACCCCATCTAGAGCTCATGTCTGTAGAGGTGGAAGAGTGAGCTTGGCCAGAAGGAACTTATTAGGGAAGACAGACTCTAGAACCTTCTGGACCCAGGAACAAAAGCCCCAAGAATGGTAAGGGTATTGAGGGTATGTAAAGAAACAAGACAGTCATTTTGGAAGAGGACAGTTCTCTTTAAGAATAAGCTTGGGGATCTGTGACATATCAGCGGCACCTGGTTAACCAGGCCCTCCACTTAAGTGTCTGTCACTGCAAAGGCTGGAGAAGGGCCAGAGACCCCACCACAGACTGGGTTCTTGCTCAGTGACCTGCGCATGGTAACCAGACTTCCTTTTACTTTATGAACAACCCAGACCCTATCAGAGCCAAGCAATTATAGGCTAAGATGGTGGTGACTAGTGCATGAGGAGCTGATGCAGCGAGTCTTCCCATCTGCAGAATGAGGGAGGTGGCACTAAAGCATTAGCCTTCCCAAATCAGCAGGAAGGACAACTCAGTGGGGTTTACTTCCCCGAGGTGTAGATGGTGAGAGGTATAATATGTCCAAGCTTGTATTCCTTCCCTGGCTTTTCTACCAGGAAACTGGCCAGGTAACTATTTAATTTTTCTGGACTCCTCTTTCTTCTTTTATAGAATGAGACAATCATATCTGGCCTGCACTTACCACAGGCTCAAATGATATGAAGCATGTGTATATAAAATGTTTTGTGAAAGCTGATGTCAAAGGTTAAATAAATTATTGGAGGTCCTAGCTTCTCTCCTTTGCTTCTGAAGGAAGTCCTTCTGGGGGTAAAGTAGCCTGGGATAATTAGGCAAAGCTTCTTCTAGGATGAGAGTATTTTTTTTTTAAGGAACTCTATTAATATAATATATCAGATCAATAGATTGAGATCAATAAGTCAAATAAGGAAAAACTGCACAACCCCTAAATTGTGGCTGAAAGAAGCATTTGGTAAAATTCAATACTCATTTCAGATATGAAAAGTTTTTTAAAAAGCTTTTAGGGATGAATGATAATGTATTAGAAAGAAGATTTTACTGTATATAGATATGGATACTTTGATTACAAAAGCTGTATGTGCGCATGGATGGTAGGAAATCTGGAAGATGTGGAAAAACACAAAGCAGAAAATGAAAAAGATCCCATTAGCAAAAAATAGTCACCCAAATTCTCACTTCTTCCAGTTCTTTCTATACATATACATTTAGAAACTCATCTATTCTAAATGTAAATTAGTATAATAATATTCTTTATTTAAAAATTAACAATAAGTCATGAATTACTATTATTATAAATAAATATTCTTTTACAATGTAATTCTTAATGGTGGCAGAATAATCTACCGTATGGACATTTTATAATTTATTTAACTAATTTTCTAACGAATTTGGGCTGATATTTTTATATTATTATTACAAATAAGAGTTAAGTGGACATCCTTGTAGACTTTTTATATATCCATAATTATTTTGTTAAGATAAAGGAAATCCATTAAAAATAAAGCACTTATTTAACACTGTTTTGGGATTCATAGACATGTCAAACATCTAGAAATGACATGAAAGTTACAGACATGAGCTAAATTCTTGGGGAAAAATAAAGGTATATTTCTATGCTATGTTTCACACCATTCATGATTCTGGATGGAGTGAAGACTTAAATGTAAACAAAAGTGAGTTCATAAAAGTCCTAGAAGAAAATGCAGTTATCTGCATAATCTCTGGAAGGCAGGTGTTTTTCAAGCATAATGTAAGCAACAAAGATAGCACAAGGGAAAGGCTAATTTAATTACGTAAATAAAAATATCTCTATACCTTAAAAACCAATTATCATAATGTGAAAAGGCAAATAATAAGAAGGAAAAATTGTATATGTGCATATAGTACACAAATATTCTTAATATTTAAAGTATTCTTTCAAACCTATTTAAAAAAAGTCCAAATAGCTCAATAGAAAAGTGAGCAAATGACGCAAATGGACAATTTACCAAAGAAATGTAGTCGCCAGGGCGCCTGGGTGGCTCAGTCGTTAAGCGTCTGCCTTCGGCTCAGGTCATGATCCCAGGGTCCTGGGATCGAGTCCCACATCGGGTTCCCTCCTCGGCGGGAAGCCTGCTCTCCCTCTCCCACTCCCGCTGCTTGTGTTCCTGCTCTCGCTGTCTCTGTCTCTGTCAAATAAATAAATAAAATCTTTAAAAAAAAAAAAAAGAGAAATGTAATCGCCAATACATGTATATGAAAAAGTTCAGTTTCGGTAATAATTAAAGACATACAATGTAATCTAATGAGACATCACTGTCCCCTTATCAAATTAGCAAAGCTTTTCTAGAAATTTCGGTGTTGGTAAGGACAGGGAATAGGAATTATAATGCACAGCTGATGGAAATGAAAATCTGTACCACCTGATTCTGGAGGGTAATACATGCCTTTTTAAAATATGCGAACTCTTTGACCCTGCATTTCTAATTCTAGACATTTAACCAAAGTGGTTGCTTAAGACTGGTGTAGAAAATTATTTTTCTAAAGATTTTATTATTTATTTATTTATTTATTTATTTATTTATTTATTTATTTATTTATTTATTTATGTGAGAGAGAGAGAGAGAGAGAGAGCATGAGCCGGGGGCGGGGGAGGGGAGGTGGGGGTGGGACAGAGGGAGAAGCAGACTTTCCGCTGAGCAGGGAGCCCAGTCCGGGCTGGATCCCAGCACCCTGAGATCATGCTGGAGCCAAAGACAGCTGCTTAACTGAATGAGCCACCCAGGTGCCCCAAGACTGATGTAGATAATTAAATTTACCTGTACATGTTTTCACTACAGTATTGTTTATAATAGTGATGTTAAAAACAATGCCCAGTGGTAAGGGCTAAGTTATACCAAGGAAATTTTGTATATTTATACAATAGAATATAAGTCTGTTGTTATGCCCTAAATTAATACTTTTTGAAATAGAAAGATATCCGTAATATGGCTTTGAAAACAAAAGCAAAAGGCCAATTCACAACAGAGGATGATGTGTCTAACTAATCCCATTGTTGAGGGAAAAAATAATGAATGTGAATTTATGGGAAAACGGCTGGGAGAGAAATACTCAGACCTGTTAATAGTGGTTATCTCTTCTGAGCACTGGAGTTGCAGACAATTTTTGATTTTCCTCTTTTTTGTTTATTTTCTAATTTTTCTGTAAGACATAAATTAGTTACAAATTTAAAAAGAACACGCACAATTCTATCCCTTAAAAAAAATCTCAGACAGAAACCCCAGTAATCTTGGAGCAATCTGGTGAAAAAGGTCCTCATGTACACTGATGATATGCATATGAATTGGTGCAAACTTTCTAGAAAGCCATTTGGCCGAATTTCTAAGAGCCAAAAAAATATCATAGGCTTACAGCGAGTCATTTTAGTTTTAGGAAGTGATCCAAGAGAAATAAGATACTTGCAGTGCTGTTTATAATGAGAAACTTTGAACTTATTGTCCAACAAAGGAGAATGATTAAATAAATGATCGGCCCCTCTCTGATGGACCTCCTGTGCCTGCTTCCCAGGAAGCTCGGGGCTAGACAGAAGGCAGTCTGTGCATTTTTTCCCCTGAGGTCTCAGCATGGTCTGTCCAGCTTTAATAGCATAATGCTCTGTAAATCTTTGACTTAGCTTGATAGAACTCATTCCAAAAGGTTCTTTGTCAGGGAAATTGTTTAAACCAGAACCTCAGCAAACTGCCCTCAAGTCCCTGCTACAGTGATGGTTCTGGACAGTCCTAGCTTCTTTGTTCCCTTGTCTCATCTCCTTTTCAGGGACGTTACCGCAGGTGGCTGGGAAGTGTTTCACAAATGGCTGTCTGGTGGCCGAGCTGATCGTGATGCAGTATTAGCCAATTTCCGTGGTGTAAATACCCCAGCCTGGCTGATTCAGGCTGCTAACATGACATCACTGAACACAGAGTTGAGAAGAGATGTGTAAAGCACAGTGTTTTATAGTATTTTAACCACACAGATAGAACAGATGTAAATAACCACATGAACAGAAATCATAGTCAAATAGAGTAAATAACTAGGAATCGCTGAACTCTGAGTATTATTACCGTTATTTTTAATATAAAGTATTTCATTATAAGCTTATATAATTTAACTATCGATAACGGCTGTGTTTAACAACTGCTCACATTGTTCCTGAAGCTGTGGCAGTGCATCCTTGCCAGCCGCTATACGTGGGCTCCAGCACCCCACTGCCCCGGCTATCTGCCCTGCTTCATTGCTGTAGGACGTGTGGCCTCCTCCTTCCATCTTTGTACAGCGTCCACTCCAGTCGACTTGCAATGTGGGGGAAAGTGGCCACTTGAGCCCTTCCTTGTCCGGGGCCATTCCTCCCCCTCCATCAGTGTCCCCACCCCCACTACTGTCTCTCTGATGGCTTCCCACTCTCCTCTCTTCATTTATGATGTCCAGGGTTCTTGTGCTCAAGATGAGGAAGGGCTTGCAGTTTGTCATTTATGTCTTGGTGTGAATAAGTTTAACTCTGATGGTTACTTCTTCCCCCAGAGTAAGTGGGACTTGTAAGTAAAGTCTTACTTGTCATTCTGAAATCCCACTGACTGGAGTTTGAATCACAGCACTCCTATTAACTAGCGCTGTGATCTTGGATCATCTAATTAACCTCTCTGACCCTTACTTCCTCATGTCTCCAGTGGGGAAAATAACAGTCTGTCCTTCAGAGAGTTTATTTATTTATTTATTTATCTGACAGAGAGAGAGACAGCGAGAGAGGGAACACAAGCAGAGGGAGTGGGAGAGGGAGAAGCAGGCTTCCCGCGGAGCAGGGAGCCCAGTGCGGGGCTCGATCCCAGGACCTTGGGACCATGACCTGAGCCGAAGGCAGACGCTTAACAACTGAGCCACCTAGGCGCTCCCTTCAGAGAGTTCTTATGAAGATTTAATATGATAATATATTCAGGGCATTTAGCACAGAGCCTGGCACCTAGTTACTGCTTGATAAATAGTACTTACATATTTTGTACTTTATTTTTACTATTTTTGGATGAAAGTAATTTGGACGTATCAAATAATAGAGGTATTTAGGAGAGGCAGATACTTCTGAAATTATACTTTCCTTTTCTTCTGCCAGGCAGTGCTCCTTCTTGTCTAAAAATAATGTGGCTTTTTATTCTAGTGCCATAACTCATGCAAAGAAGCCCAGCTGCACAATCTCAGGGTCATTTTTTTCCCCGAGGCCATTGATATTATTTAAAGATGATGAGGACCTTGTAGGTTTGAGGTTATTTTCAAGTAATAAAATTAGAGAAATGTAGAAAAATGCAGAATTCCCTTTTATAGACAGATACTTTTTCCTTTTTCCTCTTCCCCCTCGCTGTCTCTCCCCTCTTCCTCTTTTCCTCCTCCTTTTCTTCTTCTTTTTCTTCTACTCTTTTTCTCATTCAGTCTTAGACATTTTTATTTCTAGACTCTCAAGAAACATTTATTCTTTGAGGCTCCTCAGCTAATCTGAGAGTTCATTAAGACTCTTGTCCTATACTCTCAAAAGTTCAGAAATAACAGAAGTAAAACCAATGAATCACCGAAGTAATAATTAGTAAAAATTTATTTTGTGTACACCAAAAAGTTTGCAAACTGGAAGCACTTAAACCAAAAATGTGGAATGAGGCTCAGGGATATATTGTTATAAAGCAGCATTTTAAGTTGAGAAAGCAGTGACTGTTTATTCTTTATAGTGATTGGTTATAATATGAGAATTTCCTTAGGGGTGCCTGGGTGGCTCAGTCAGTTAAGTGTCCAACTCTTGATTTCAGTTCAGGTCATGATCTCAGTGTCGTGAGATCGAACCTCACTTAGTGCAGAGCTGCTTGAGATTCTCTCTCTCCTTCTCCCTCTGCCTCTCTCCGCCCCTTGCGCGCGTTTCCTTAAACGATAGGAAACTGGTCAGTGATTACAGTTCAAGTTTTGCTTATGATTTCCAGAGGCATGAGCAAGAAATGATCCAGGTCAAGTTTGTCTTGCAAAGTAAGCGAAATTGAGCTTTGTATGACTAAACTGGTTTTGTTTGTTCAGGGACTTTTCAAGGCTGCCTCTCTGTTTTTGATGTTAATGGATTTTCTGATGCCGATCCTCTTCATTGACACTCTGTTCTAAAGACACATATATTTGCTCAGCTAGAATCAGACATGCTGCCTGTCACGGCCAGTGAGATATAAATTCTGACAAGCCAACTCTAGGACAAATAAGCTGTGTCCCTTGGTGCAGTCGCTTAGATTTCCACAGTATTGATTACCTCGTCTGCAAAGGAGAAGAGGCACATGTCGCCAGGCTTATGGTACAGAGCTGTTGTGGGTATCCAATGGGATATTGCATGTGATGGTGCATGTAAGTGCTAAAGCACTGAGCACACACATAGCGGAAGTGACTTGTTCTTCTGGTAACATATTCACATATAAAAGGTCACCTATCCTTCTGCAACCTCACTTCCTGCCATGGATCCAGGATCCTCCTCCCCACTTCGGGGGGACATGAAGCTGGTGGGTCCCCACCACCTCAGCTTGAACTGGCTACTGAGATGAATTACCATTCTGTCCCTTACTAGCTCTGTGACACTGGGCAGATTATAGAACCTTTCTGGTTCTTCACTTGTAAATGTGCATAATGACACCTGGCTGGGAGGGTTGCCGGAAGGACTAATTGGGTAACATAGTCAAGGTGCTTAGCAAAGGGGCAGATGCTTGGAATGTGCTACTCAGCAGCTCTTGCTGCTCCTAAGTACTCTATCTTCTTGACTGGCTACCTGTGGTTCCGTCCCCCGTGCCATCTCCGGCAGCCGGGCAGGTAGAATGCCCACCATACTATCTCTGCAAGGCATACCAGTCTCTGCCCTGCTTACAAAGGTCCGATGTCTGGTTTGGCCAGGAAGTCAGGTCCTTGGAAAAGTGGGAAGAGGCAAGTGTTGCTGATGGCATCCCCTCCCCTCACTCTTCTGTCAGGACCTTGTTCTTTTCTCTCTAGGCACCTAGCTTGCTCTCAGATAGCTGTCAATTTGTCAGAGGCTTGAATAGCAGAAGTGCCCCATTCAAAACTGGGGTGCTAGCTTTCCATGTTCCTCTCCACCTACCCATTATCTTCTCTGATCCCATCGTTATCCTGTCTGTCCTTCAACTTAATTTTAGGGGACCAAATTGCTGCTTATCTTAAAGGGCCAACTTTTGATCTTTCAGGGTTGCATGTATCTACCAGGAAGTACGATCAAGGAGATCGCCATGAACCCAGAAGAGGCGGGGAAGTTTGTCTTTGAAGTCATTCCAGGTAGGCAACAGAAGTGGGGACAGAGGTACATTATATTCCCGTCTTACTTCAGGATCCTAGAAGTCAAGGCTGAGTCTGTCAGCCAGCTAACCAACCAACCGAGTAAAAATGCACTGTAGTTCTGTACGTAGTTAACGAACTTATACTAGTTCATTAGCTGGCAGGCCAACTAAGCGGGTGCGTGTGTGGTTCAACCCCGTAAGCATCTCGTGAGTGTGTGCTTGGAGACACGTATTCCACCAGGCGCTGACACACTGCTCTGAAAAGTACATCATCCCTGCTCACTAAAAGGAGCTCAGTTTCCAAGTTGAGTGAGATATTAAAATGAACAGTTACAGTGTAAACTGGGCAATGTGAAATTGCCATTTTGGTAGGTCAAAAATGGTCCACGGTCAATAGTCTCATATGGTTCAGCACGACGTAATAAGAAATGACAGCCGCGAATTACTGAGCACTTAGCACATGTGGGGTGCTGAAGGTCCTCTACTGCGCATGTTAGCAGCACGCTGGAGGGTGCTTCTGCCCAGGCAAGGGTTCCCTTCCTCAACTGCATGTGGGGCAGGAGGAGTTGATCTTACTCCGTCTCAAGAGGAATTCAGGTTTGTGTGAGCCTAGCACACTGAGGCTGCTTCTCCCTATCTCGTGCTCCTTTGCCAGCCCCAGCGCCGCCAGGAACTCCAGACCTGCTGGTCAGGTGGTGACATAGCAGGGGAGGCCGCCAGTCCCCTGAGGGAGCGCCTCTTCCCTTAACCCCCTCCTTACCACTCGCTCAAGGCAGCATGCGCATAAGACATGATGAAGAAGGCAACGTAGCCGTGAGGTTAGAGTGCCTGGTCTGGAGCTGGCCTGCCCTCCTCCGAATCCTGGCCCTGCCGCTTTCTATTTGTGTAACTGTGATCAGGTTATTTCATTTCTTCCTGCCTGTTTCTTTATCTGTGAAATGCAGACAATGATAAGGATAGTGAGGATGATAGAAAGGAATTGACTTGGCACATTTGGTCTAGTGACTGATATATAGTCAGTGTCATGTAGATGTTTGATCTTTGGGGATAACTGGAGGAAATTACAATGTAGAAATCAATCCTAAAACTGGCTACTGCTATAGAAAACAAAGAAAGACCGTTTTTAAAGTTCAGATCCTCCGGGCGGCCTCCTTCCCAGTGGGCACTCCTTTGCTCTTTTATCTGAGTTCTGTCCAACTCTCTTCCTCCTCAAAGGAAGAGTTTATTTTTTAGTCTCTCATCTCTGAGAAAACCCCACCTCTTTCCCACAAGATTCTTCTAGTCCGAGGACCCCTTTCCCAGCACAGTTCATGGGATATAACCGTCTATGGTAACATGTTTCCCAAAGCCTGAATTTTCTATCAAGGGTAACCCTACTGAGAGGTCTGGCTGCAGATTCAATGTGGGCTTTGCACGCCAAGCCCAGTACCCTTGAAGATTGCTATGCTACAGTATCTCATTATCACGTACACTTGCTGCAGGCTCCTGGGTGTGCACGTGCATGTGCGCGCATGCACGCACACACACACACGTCTCATAAGAACAAACAACAATTCTAAAGCAATAATAAGGTAGGGAACCATTTTCCTAAAGGTCTCCTAAAGGAGCCATCATTCGCAAGTCTTCACCCAACTTAAAGCGAGGCAAGCCTTTGTATTATGATGTAGAGATTTTTCGATCCTCTTTTTGCCATGCTCTTATGCAAGATTATTCTCAGGGACCAATGCTGGCCGAGGAAATGGCCTTCCTAATCAGGGCCCTCTCTCTGTGATCACCAGTATCAGTTGCACAAAAGCCAGAGAGAAGCCTTTCGTTGTAGTTATGCTATGTTTTTCTTTATTGGGGGCAGGCAAAAATTTAGGACAAGTTTCCCTTTCCCTACGTACCTCTAGCAGGATAATTATCTGTTCTCCTTCCACCCAAAGGACGTCATCACAGATACAGAAAGTTATTCCACTTGTTGCATTTCATTCTCATGCTGTCTGGTGAGATGTTACAACAGATTTATTGAGTACCTGCTATGAGCCAGGCACTATCATAGGAACTGGGAATCCAGAAAAGAGCAAGCCTGCGTGTAGCTCACAGTCTAATGGAGGAGACTGACAAACTGACTGCTTATGACAGAATAAGCACAATGGAAAAAATTAAAGCAAAGAAAGCAAAATTCTCATTGAGGGGATAGTGGCGGTTACTTACCATTTTATTCTTTATTTTTTTACTTCAAAAAAAGTTTCTATTTATTTATTTGAGAGAGAAAGAGAGACAGAGATAGTGAGAGAGAGCACGAGCAGGGGTGGGGGGAGTTGGTGGAGAGGGAGAAGCAGACTCCCTGCTGAGCAGGGAGCCCAACACAGGGCTTTATCCCAGGACTCTGGGATCGTGACCTGAGCCGAAGGCAGACACTTAACTGACAGCCACCCAGGCGCCCCTCACTTACCATTTTAAATAGAGCAGGCACTCCAATGTGCCCAACATTAATTGTTTTATAGGGCAGCAAAGGATTTTCAAATTCCCTTTGCCTTTGATCTCTTGAACCTATTTAATATCATGGAGCTTCACCTTCTTTACCCTTTGGGATGACCTGATTTAGAATCTTTTTTGTGATCGGGTCATCAGTTTTTTTGACCAGAAGTGTCAGTCCATCGAAGTCCTGGCCAGTCAGGAGCATCCTGAGAGCTGGGCGTTCCTCACTGGAGTTGAGAGACAAAACTAATGGCAAAACTAAAAGATCTTCCAGAAGTCAGGGTAAACTGAAAAGGCATGTTTTTGACAACACAACAGACTGGAGCATAGGCCTAGTGGAGAAAGGTGCCAGATAAATTTTGGCTAAGGTCAAATTGGACGCAATAGGGGCTACTGGCAATTATTGGGAGAAAGATCAGGGGCCATGCCTAGAGTTTGGTAGTCACTTCCTGGGTGCCAATGGGCAGGCCTCTTTGCATCTCTGGACTTGAGTTCCATTAGCTGTAGAATGGAAATGATACTAGAGCCCATTCTATTTCAAAGGGATATTATGGTTCTTTAGTTCTACCCTGACCACTTTTTACTTCCCATTTTACTTCTGGAAGCACCTAGCTCTCAGGAATGGTCAGGGCCTCCATGCACTGACCCTTCTGGTCAGAAGAGCTGATGACTCAATGATAAGATGGATTCAGAATCGGGTTGTCCCAAAGCATAAAAGAATGTGGTGCTCCTATTAATATAGGTTCAAGAGATGAGAACCAAATGGAATTTGAAGGTCTTTTGTTGCCCTGCAAGAAAGTACAGGTTTTGGGGTGCCTGGGTGGCTCAGATGGTTAAGCGTCTGCCTTCAGCTCAGGTCATGATCCCAGGGTCCTGGGATCGAGTCCCGCATCGGGCTCCCTGCTCCTTGGGAGCCTGCTTCTCCCTCTTCTTCTCTCTCTCTCTCTCTCTGTCTCTCATGAATAAATAAATAAAATCTTTAAAAAAAAAAAAAAAAGAAAGTACAGGTTTGGGCACAAGTGGGGTACTAAAACAAACTCTTTTTGAGAGCAATGCCCTGACATTGTGAGAAGAATGTGTTGGTGTTTACACAGACACTTTGAAATTTAATAGCCTCTTGTAATTGAAAGGGATTGCTATTATGTTCTATGTCCTATGTTTGATGATTTCCTTCTCCCTCTCTTTTCCTTCTCTGTCATTTTTCTTTTTGTCACTTTCTTTCATTCTTTCTCTTGACATCCTCTCCCTGTTCCACCCCCTTGTCACTTCTTTACCCTTTTGTCTGTAGCACAAAACCCAGGAAACATTACATATGTCTGTCCATAATCATGGGTTTAAAGTGCAAATGTAAAGAAAGTCCTAACAAACTTCATTTGTCCATCAACTATGTATTGAGAACCTACCGTTTACGATGTCTTGTGCAGGTAGGAGAGTAGAAATCCTGAATAGGAAACACTGATTTTGTGAGAAAGGCACACATGTGCTCATTGTCTCTCTCTCCTGAGTTGCTGTTCTCCTCCTCACCCCAACAGCTGAGCTCATGAGTAGCTTAGGAAAATATCTGTGATGGTGTGATGGACTAAAGTCTTCAAAATTGTACGGGCTGAGCCTCTCTCCTCTAATACCGACACTGCCCCTTGAACTTCTCTTCTTTCCTGGTAGGAAACGGCTTCTCTCCCCGACGGGAGCAGATCTCAGCCCAAGGCATCCCAATTGCAAACCACGGGTGTTCAGTGGTTTATCTATAGAATTAGAGTTTCAAGTGCATAGGTATTTGGTTCCCTTGAGGTTAAGTAGATAATGTTTTTGTGTTGTTTGTTCTTTTAATTGAATCAAGGAAGCAGCTGAGGTTCAGTTTCCCTTGCTTCCCTTTGTCTCGGCCGCTTACCGCTCGAAGACCTTCATTAGTATTACTTCTTCCTCCAGCCTCATGGGACCAGAGTCGCACAGGACAGGACTCCTATGTCCTCATGGCCAGCTCTCAGGCGGAGATGGAGGAGTGGGTTAAATTCCTTAGGAGAGTCGCTGGCACGCCCTCTGGAGGTAAGGACTCTGCAGGTTTTCCTGGGCAGGTGTCTGTGACATCTCAAAGATGGGGAGTTAGGAGCTCCAGACACAATCCCTCCTTGAACAGTGTTCAAGGGACACCACGAGAGGACAACTCTGAGGCCATGCTCATTGCCAAGCATCTAGCTTCCCTCCCTGCATGACCTCAAAGAGCCGACTCTAGATTTGCTGGGCAGACCGCAGCCCTTTGCAGCTCAGTAGCAAATGTGTGTGATGTCCTGAAGCAACATTCCGCAGCACCACGAGTCTGCCCGGTTATGGGGTCATGGGCCGGAGAGGGTGATGGCAAGACCTATGCCAAAAGCTGGGGGAGGCTGATCAGCAGGAAAGTGAAGCGGCTGGCCAGAACTGGGGTGGTTAGAATGGGGAGAGGTTCAGGAACTGGGTCCCGCTCACAGGTTCTCCGTGAATTCAGGGTGACCACTTTTCTGGGTTCCATGACTCAGGTGTTTGAGTTTTCTGGGAACCCTGGTGTTGGGGCCCCACTAGAGGAGAAACTGCTGTGAAAAAATATCCATAATTAACACAGTGTCCACAAGAGCCAAAATATGGAAAGAGCCCAGATGTCCATTGACAGATGAATGGATAAAGATGTAGTATATATGTGTATATATATACACATATAATATATATATTACTCAGCCTCCAAAAAGAATGAAATCTTGCCCTTTGCAATGACATGGATGGAACTGGAGGGTATGCTAAGAGAAAAAAGTCAGAGAAAGAGAAATACCGTATTTCACTCGTATGTGGAATTTAAGAAACAAACAGATGAACATAGGAGAATGGAGGGAAAAATAAAATAAGGTGAAAACAGAAAGGGAGACAAACCGTAAGAGACTCTTAACTCTAGGAAACAAACTGAGAGTTGCTGGACAAGAGTTTGGTGGGCGATGGGGTAACTGGGTGATGGGCATTAAGGAGGGCACTTGATGGAATGAGCACTGGGTGTTATATGTAAGTGATGAATCACTAAATTCCACCCCTGAAACTAATACTACACTATATGTTAACTAAATTGAATTTAAATAAAAAATTAAAAACAAAACAAAACAAAAACATCTGCAATTAACAAACAGGTGAATCCAGTATATGTTTTTTCCTTTCATAAAAATATGAAGAACTGCTGATATGGGGGATCTCAAGTGACCACTTTGCTTCAACTTTTTAGGAACGAACTTTGTGTCAACTCCAGGATGACTGTATATAATTATTTATCAACTGTGCTGCCTATTATTTTGGAAGTCATGTCGGGGGGGGGGCTCTTACAGCTCAAATATTAAATATTTATGGGATTGCCCAATGGGTTCTTTAAACATTATGAGTGCCATAACAATTTTGTGGAAATTTGAAAAATATAGGAAAATAATCACCCCTACAACCACCAGAGGAATTTTTATGTTTTCCTTCCAGGTGGTATTCATATATACATTTCTTATTTTTTTTTTCAGAATGACAAGCATGGAATATATACAATTTAATATGTTTTATTTTATAGCTAAAGGGTTTTTCCCATGTTGTTATATTGATTCATTTCAGGGGTTATTTGGTTACCAAAAATAGAAATCGCGTGCAATGATGTTAAGCAACAAAGAGGGATTTACTGAATTGGTACAGTAGCTACTGAAAGAGACCAAGGGAGAACTGCCAAGAGGACTCAAGACACTGGGGCCAAGAACTGGACCATCGGCCCAGCGCTTATCCTGTCGGTTTCTCTGGGGCCACACAGCTTCGCATTCTGCTTCTCTCTGTATGCCTGCCTGTGTTTGCGTGGTTAGCAGCGCTCCAGTACTCACTCGTGGCCCCATACAGCCGTGCCAGCCCCAGCTTTCCTGTATTTCTCTCTCAAGCACAGCAGAGGCTGAGCTCAGCCTCCACCACCCCATTCCAAACTCCTGAGAAAGACCATCTATCTGGCTCAGCTGGGGGCAGGAGACCACTTGCAGACTCAGGAGCTGGGGCAAAGAGGCAGTCCTGTAGCCCGGGACCTGCCTAGCGGGGACTGGGAGAAAAGAAGTTACTGATGGGACACCCAGACTCAGGAGTGCCTGCCACAGGTATCCTGAGCAGCTGCATCCTATTACAAAAAGAGGAGCGTGGTTTCGTTATCCATTTCCCAGGTCCTAAACAGTCTCTTTTTTGCTGTGCTAGTCAGTCCAAGATGAGGTTTTTATTGATTAAAGCTCTCTTCTATGCCATTCAGCCTGGATAAGCTTAGCTCTCAGCCTCCTTGTTGCCCCGGATTGTGAGATCATAAGCCCTTGCCGAGGTTTCCTGCTTTCCTCAGTCCAGGGCTCTAGGCAGCCTGCGTTGACAAGGGTAGTAGACTTGGCCTACATTGCCTGCTTACGCACTTATTCTGAGTCAAATGAGGTCCCTGCACTGTGAGTAGCCTCTGTGCCTTATATGGTGCTGGCTCAGCCTTGCGGCGGTGAGCTGCTCTACTGGGTCCTGCGCCACGCGGGGATTTCTTCTTTCCCCCACCTCACCACCTGAGAAGCCAGTCAAGCATAAATCCTGCAGGCAGGGGAAAGTCCGAGGGACGAGAAATAAGAGTGCAGCATATTTATTTATTCAAAGAACGGAATTTGTCTCTGATGTGGCACTTCAGATGTTTCTAAAGCCTCTTGTGGAATCTGAATGCTGGATCTCGGGATGAGAAGGCATTTTAAGACAACAGAGAGTCCAGTCTGACGCCACGAGGCAAGCCAGACATTTGTTCTTCCTGTGTGTAAGTCAGGAAGCTTCTGTCCTGAGGAAGTAGATGATTAGTCCGAGGGGCCCAGCTGTCGAGGAGTGGGGCCGGGGCTCCCGCCTCTTAGGCAGTTCTTGTCACAGCATGGCCCCACTCGGAAAGTGCCTCTGAGCCAGGTCCACTAGATCTGCAGGGCATGCCGCTCAGACATTGGAAAGGCCCTGGCAGATGTTGCTGCTGCCTCTTTCCAGCCCTTCCTGAAACTTTCTATGGCTTTTCCCACCCAGAATCCGCTCTCTTCTTACCATTTCCACTCCCACCATCCTGGCTGGGGCACCCTACGGTCTTGTCTGAATCACAGTAGTGGTTCCGAAACCAACTCCCTTGCTTCTTCCCAAACACGCAAGGCACGTTCCTGCCTCAGGCACATTGCTATTTTCTCTGTCTGGAATCCTCTGTCTCCGGGTACCTGTGTGGCTTGGTACTCTGCTTTTTTGCAGGTCTTTGCTCAAGTATCACCTCAGGGAGACTTCCCCCATCCCCATCATCCCATTTGACATTGAATCCCTTCCTTGCCCTACCGCCGGCCCTCCTTGTCCCTCTGTCCAGCTTCATTTTTCTCCTATGTACTACCCTCTTAGAACCTGCTAAATTTTTCACTCATTTGTTCGTAGTTGGTCTCCCCTGGCTAGAAGAAAATCTTTAATCTACTTGGCATGAATTTCTTTCTCCGTTTTGTTCAGTGCTATATCCCAGGATCTAAACAGTGCCTGACACAGTAGATGTGAAGGAATGGCCTTTTCTTCCCATGGTGGTCCTGGGTTCTACTCCCGTAGGCTCTCCTCTTTGCTCAATGACCATCAGCTTACCTGGGAAATTACTTGGAAAATGGGTTGCTGCCTCTAGAATGATCTTGCTCCAAGTGTGTTAATGGTTAGCTTTGGTGAAACTCTTTATGGTTTGTAGACCCCTTAGAGAATCTGATAAAAGCTGTGGAAACGCTCCCCAGAAAAATGTTCAGACAGAGCAATTTTGTGTTCAACTGCATTCAACTGCAGGTACCTGTAGGCCCTTTGTACTACCTAGGTACTGAGTCCAGACCATGTTTTACAAGTCACCCTCGTTGACAGTTTTGCAGAGCTAAGGCCCTTCTTGCCCCAGTTTCTTTTCTGGCTCCCTTTCTGCCTTGACAAGAAAGAAGGCCCACATAGTTCCCATGAAACACCCCGCTTTTTCCCCTTGGCTCCTCCTGCCTCCTAGCTGCTCTAAACATTCTTCTCACCTTGTCCCTTTCTGGGACCATTTCCAATGTTTCTCCACACGTCCCAGAAATTCTTGGACACCAGCTAGATGTCCAACAATTTAACTCAATTCGGACGCTATCTACCTAGAGATAGTTCAGATTGCACAGGCAAAGGGCTCGGTCCTGCAACACATCTCCCCTTCCATGCATTTCAGGTGCCAATTTCAAGGCCAGATTGTCACCTGTGCTTCTGACTTGGAGGTCCCAATGACCCTCTCCCTGGGTTCAATTAATTTGCTAGAGGGGCTCACAGAACTGAGGAAACCAGTTAGCTTATTAGATCACCAGTTTATTATAAAAGGATATAACTCAGGAACAGCCAGATGGAAGAAAGGCATGGGCAAAGTGTGGTGGAGGCCCTCTCCAAGACTACTAGTCTCCCCCAAATCTTCAGGTATCCATCAACCTAGAAATTCTCCAAACCCCATATCCTTTTGGATTTTATGGAGGCTGTATTGCATCTGCATGATTGATTAAATCATTGGCCATTCGTGACTGAACTCAATCTCCAGCTCCCCCCCCCCCCCCCCCCCCCCCCCCCCCCCCCCCCCGCCCAGAGGTCAGTGGGTGGGACTGAAAGTTCTAACCCTGTGATCACTGGGTTGGTTCCACCGTTAATCAGCCCCTATCCTAGGTGTCTTTCAAAACTCATCTCATTAACCTAACAAAAGATGCCTTTATCTCTCTCATCACAGCAAATTCCAAGAGTTTCAGGAGCTCAGTGCCAGAAAATGGGTGAAAGACCAAAAATATATTTCTTATAGTAAATCACAATGTCACACCTTGGAAAGCAGCACCGTGGTGTTCTAGTCTTTTCGTTCCTAGCCAGCCAGTTTATCTCTTTTTTCTGCACTATTCTTTCCTAAGGACCTGGTTGGGAAAAGTTAGATTAATTTTTTCCCAAAAATTCTGGATGCAATTCCAAGCGTTCCTGATGTAAGTAGAAGAAAAGGAAGGGAGGTGAACACATCTGGACTT